TCAAGGTTTTATTTAATTAAAAATTCAATGCTTTTACAATAAAAACGTGCCTTAGTAACAACTGAACATAACACATTCTTGTGTTTTTTTTCAATATGTAATTAAAGAGTGCCCGTCAGGAATGTTTGGATCAACATGCAACTTTTCATGCCACTGTGCCAAGAACTTCATCTGTAGTTTACCCACTGGTTTTATTTGCCCTACTGGGTGTCAAAACTACTGGAAAGGCTATGGATGTCATCAAGGTAAGAAGTACACCCACTGGATAATAGAAGTGTCACCCCTACTGAACCAATACTATGGCGGAGATAAATGACTGTTGAATGATATGCTCTTGGTATCATTTTATTAACATCAAATTTCACAAAAAATCACAAAATGGGAACAAAATATACATTCTACCAAAATATGCAGTTTCAAGTCCAAAATTAGTACTTAGTGGCATAACCACGTGACCTAATAATAGGTACCAGTCTACAAGGCAAGGGTTCATATAATTGTCTGATGCATTCAGGGCTTATGCTGGTTAGACGGGCATTTGTCAAAAGTTTTGACATACCATTCCACACATTTTCTATTATGTTTGCATCCGGACTCTGGGCAGATCACATCACCCTGTGAATGCCCTGTTGGTCAAATCAATCATCAACTGCCCTGGACCTGTGACAAGGAACATTGTCATCCTGCTGAACAAATGGATAATTCCTGTCACCAAACAAGTTAGTAATAGATGGTAGCAAGCCTGACTCCAAAACATCGATATATTTCTAGTGATTCATGTTTCCATCAACCACTATCAATTCGCCCACGCCATGGATGCTGATGCAGCCCCACACCATAATAAATGTGCTGCTCTGGGTTCGAAAATTCAGTGCATGTGGTTCAAATGCTTTACCAGCAGTTCACCAGCATCGTACCCGTCTGCCATCAGAGGTCAGACCAAAGCGACACTCATCAGAAAAAAAATATATAGGACCAATTGTCATGGACTGTCCAGTTCCAGATCCTGTTGACCCTAGTTCACTCTACGTTGCCTGTTTTGTAACGATATAAGAGGTTTCAGTCTTGCTACCCTGCTGTACACTCTCTGAGCATGTAACCGACGCCTAGCAATTTTCACAGACACATTCTTATGTGTGAAATTGTTCCACTGTGTTGTCAACTGACAAGCAGTGTCGAACTTTGACAACCTGGACATCAAAATCAGTCGTCGGTCTTTACGGCCAGTAGTTTTTCTTGGACGACCAACCAGAGACAATTTGTCTCTTGATCCAGTGTTTCTTTACCGAAACCAAACCTTCTTCACGGTTCTGACTGAACAATTCAATTGTATCGATATTCTGACATTGCTTATATTCCGCCTCTTCAGGCTAATGACTTGACGCCTATAACCGTTAGATAATTGCCTGCATCTTGCCATATTGGAGGAAAACAGTAATAAAATTTGCTGTACATGTACAAGACCAACAATACAATTCCATGGTATAGCGGTTTTATACTCATTAGTCACATTATAAGTAGACCAGGCATTATAACTACCCAAGATCTGCCTACTTTTTTTACTCTGATTTAGGGGGTGACACTTCTTTTGTCCAGTGTGTGTAGTTTCATAATAGTAAGACTGCCCGTGCTTGCATCCCCCGCCAGAGCTACATGTATATAAGAAGCGAGAAAGGGTACCAGTAGGCCTACATCATGTTGCATTTGGCCTATCCTGAATATTTATTCAAAATAATATTCAATTTATGAAAGCATGGAAACTCAACAGAACATAAGCGTAAGCGCCCTCCTGACACCTAAAATTGAGCCCCGTCATGCGGCCAATTTTTATTGATATAATGGATCCTGACCAGGGTCATTTTTAGAGGTCGACGCCGTCAGACTGTTTTTCTTTGCAGTTTTTACAGGTATCCCATTTCATCATACTGGTATCTTATTGGCACTTTAAAAATATCTATGTCAATCTGAATATCGACAAACATTAATACTGTTTTGATATGGAAACATTTTCTTGTACAGTATATATTTTATGAATTTTTACAGAATGTTCAAACATATTATTAATTTCAAACAGACCGACCACGCCTTACACGTGCGCCCTCGCTTTCCTCGAGAACAGTTCATTCTGTCACCCTAGTCTGGGACAGCTGGTCTCCGGACAGGTACCCTGGAGTAGGGAGTGTGAGCCGTTATAACGTCAGTGCGTGGAAAGATGGCAGCATCAGCAGCAACAAGACCACGTCTGCGTCCATAACGTCGATGACCATTGGTCGCCTTGCCGAATACACTGAATATAGCTTTGCTGTAACTATAGTGGACGAGGAAGGGCATAATGGACAGCAGAGCCCGAGTGTTACAAAAAGAACATGTGGAGGTAAAAAAGAAGAAAAATTTTGGGTGGCACTAATTATTGTTTGCACTGAAAATTATACTACCATTTTTTTCTGTCATTGTGGCCATCGTTATTTTATGCTAATTAATATTTAATATTACTTAAATGTTTTATAAGTTTATGTAGGACTGAATAAAATAAAAAGTTGGATAATAAATATCCAGGTAAGTACGCCCTGTTTTTGTAGTTCCAGCATTAGTTCCGCCGCCCACTGTTGACTCTGATGTAACAGGCCAGAAGACAACTGCTCAGATAAAGATAACAACACAGGTGAGTGAAGAATATATTTATGTTTGTAAAATCAACCATTATGTGCAAGCACCCGAAGAAAATGATTTCACTTTCAAATCCAAGATTTTGCGAAGAGGAGAGGAGGGGAGGCATAGGGGCATTTATTTAATCTCAGAGGAGGAAGAATTACCTAGTTTTGTCAAGTTTCCATTGTTATACCGTTTTGGGGAGGGAGAAGGATGGAATGGGGATATCTCTGTAGTTCAAAAGTTATAATATAAATGTAGGAGTAAAGAATAAGACCTTCATTTAAAAATCATTTTTCTAACATTATTTAGCATCTGATGATAAACGGTATCCTTATCGTCACAAATATGACAAAAGCAAAACCAGTTACACTGGATTTTAAAACAGAAATACTTAAAGCTTTAATACTTCTTCCAATAACAAAGATAAACGTGTTTGATGTATTGTCTTGCAGGGAATGACTGAAGCAGTTCACAGGTGTGATGCATTTTCGAAATTGAAGCTGAGTTACGAAGGGGAGTATGGGGATAGTAACACCATAGAAACCACAGATGTACCCGTATCAAAAGAGCTTATGTTAGGGAGTCTTATTCCCTACAGTAATTATACAATCAACATATCAGCGGTGAACAATCTGAATCTGGAAGGGCCAGAGCTTAAGATGTATAAGTTTACACCGGAAGGGAGTAAGTATTGCATTCTCTCTTTGAACATGTATTAACCATCTGGTTTGAAGTCGCTTGATCATGGAATTGAAAAATATATATCGTCATAATATAAACACAAAGAATTGTCGGAATTTTGTAGTTGATTTGTAGAAGGAGAAAGTTCCCTGGAATTTTGTGAAATAATTATGTTAACATACATTATATGTTCGTTCTAAATAACGTGATTAGATAATAGCGACAATATCGGCAGCTTTGAAAACACACAAAGTGTCTTCTCTAGTCCCACCCAAAATGGCACCACCTGTTGCTGTTAGTCGAAGTCACAATACCATAGAGTTGCGATGGGAAGCACCACGACCTCCAGGAGGGATAATAACAGAGTATAAAATATCTTACGGCATGGGAGAGAATAACTGGGGGAATTCACTGAAACTGAACGCCAGCACTTATTGGAAACCTGTAGGCAGTCTTACGTATAACAGGACATACTGGTTTCGGGTAAGGGAATAGTATGCGCAGGGATGTTTCTTCTTCGTCCATCTTAATGCGTTTCTTTGAATATATCAAAATGAAGAAATCTGTTCCTTGAAAAATTCTTAATCTGAATCTCTTCTTGAATTCAATGTAACGTCGTAGGCCTACAGCAGAATAATGGTTAATTCGTTTATTTTAAAACAGTCTGAAAGTCGATTGACAATTATCCTCCACCTGTCCTCACTTAATGATAATATTAACGTCTTACTTAACCTTCTTTGTTTAAGATCCGCGCAGGAACCAATATCGGTTACGGAGAATATAGTGACATTCTTCATGCTAGAACTGTAGAAGAAAGTAAGTATAGACCTAACTAAAATGAAGATAATGCATTATCGACTTTTTATTAGATCACTTACAGCCATAAGATCACCAAGAATTAATTTAAGAACCGTTTGTAAAATATAGTGCCTTTCTAAAAAGTTAAACGGTTATTGTGGTACATTTATAATCTAGATGTTTAATTCTTAATATTTTTAACATAATTTAAAGAGCCGGGGCCTCCAACTAATTTCACCAACACTAGCAGATCAGATACATCTTTGGAGTTTTCGTGGAACGAGCCATTTATCAGGAATGGGGAAATAACGGGCTACAAGGTAATCGAAACGTAAAAGGTGGCTTAAAATGCAATTGTATATACAAATATACTGTAGTTGTCTAGGGGAATAATCTTTGAAACCATGTCTTTATTTATTGTCATTTTGCAATCAGTCATTGCCGGCTTTTGGTATGAAGAATGTGACCCAAGGTTATCTTGAAATTCATTGTAGATTGAATGTTCTGTTGATGGAAAGAATATATTAGCAGAACTAGCCATGTCAGCAAGAAAAGTCGTTGTGAGTAAATTGAAGCCAGGTACGCGGTATTTATGTGGGTTAATGGCCAAAACATCGGCAGGTTATGGGAATTCATCACAAGTTATCACATGGACAAAGCCAGCGGGTAAGTACGGTATTACCGTTACAAAACATTTAAATTAAAAATATCTAAGCAATATACCCGATTTTATGTTTGACGATTTGTGACATCTGTTCTTACAATGCATTTGGAATTGGTATTGTTTCATCCTTACAGTCCCAAATGATATTGAAGTGATCACAGTCTCGCAAAGCTTATTGCAAAGAACACTATCGAGCATTACCATTATGTTACCAAGCAAGCACTATGGAGACGTGTACAAGTATAGGTAGGAACATATAACACTTGTTGTAAATGCGTTTGTCAAATAGCTTTATTTTGATTCAGAGGAGGCATCTGTATCTTAAATACACATGGGTATGGTACTTAACTGATACAACACTAATTACTGCTGTATCCTTCGAAGTTACCTGTTAACAACTATTAAGCAAACACACGCGTGTGGGTTTTTTACACTTTATGAAGTAAATATATTGCATTTTACGCTAGGATTGTAGTGGAGAAAGAGAGCAAAGCGAAACGTCGCCGACGGGCTTTAGACCTTAACGACTCCAAGATCCAGAGACTTGTCCCGTGTCAGTCTGTGACAGACACAGATCAGTTGCTGTGTGTGGCGGCTGAACTGGGTGCTGGTGACCTTGGGAAGCCGTTTACTGTTGGAGATAATAAAACATATGGAGGATATTATAACCGGCCGCTGGAGGAAGGGAAATCATACAACATATATTTCGGCCCTGTGCAAACAGTAGATGGGGTAGGTACTAATTTAGTGTATTTTTTGAGTAAGGTAAAATATTATATGCTATATGTACTGTTTTGTCGACTATGGTTGTAGGGGTGTGGACGTTTTATTCGTAGGGCAAAGCATCTCGGCGACTGAGCACTTAATTTGCAAAACGACACAACAATATCTTAAAAATGCTGTGTATGTTCCTTGTCTGTGTTCTTTGTAGATTACTTCCCAAGCCTATGTTTCCTTAGTAAGGGGTGTTATACCACAGATGGATGTCAAAAGTAAGTGGTACATTTATCCTTGACATGTGCATCAGCAAGATTTTGAATACAACGGCCCTTAGAAGAAAAAAGACAAATAAATCCTCATCTTTACTTATAATTGAATTGAAGTACATACATTCAGGTATTACAAACGCACATATATTTTGGTATCATGCAGTCATGTACACTGTACAGTTCTAGGTCTAGATGTCGGTGTCCTCGTCGGTGGAGTTGTTGCAGCCATATTGGCGGTGGCAGGTGTGGCCATAGCAGTCTGGATATACATGAGGTAAACATATTTACAGGGGCTGTGCCACACGCTTGCACAAGGGATTATTTTTTCTGTTTATTTCAAAGAAATGCATTGTTCTCCAAACACTGAGATATGAACGTGGCTAATACTTGATAACATTGCAAAAAGGTTAGCACGAAAATATAAACCACCACTACATTCAATTTGAAACCATTCATCCTTATTATGTATAGTAATAACGGTACTGGTAAGCCGTTGAATAACATTTGTTGCTAGCTGTTTGATGCGTAAGAGTAACCGTATATTTATGCCGTATTGTATCTTATATTTTATATGACGCGCATTATGCATAATTTTGTTAGAAGGCGAAGGCGTGGACTGGAAGCTACACATTCAAGTAGTGCATCTGACAGAGAGATGAAATCGTTAAAAGTAGAGACACGCAATGAAGGTAAATGGGTTGATAGTCGCGTGCAGTGGGTGAGGAGACACCCCCCCCCCCCACCCGCATCCCCACCCCTATTACGTGAAATCAATCATTTTATAAAATGCAGTACATGAACGTTGTCTAAATTTGAAGCTTTGGCTAATCTTAAAGTGTGCATTTTGATTCATAATTGATCCAGCTACATTAAAACTGATCAATGAAAACTGATCACATACCGTAAATGTCCAGCAATTTTCAAACGATTTTCCATTGTATTTTGACTCTTTTGTGTAACCAAAATATCATGCACATGAAACATTTTTCTTTGGTACCTGTAGTCCAAAACAACTGTATTTTCTTTTTATGATCTCTCTCTCTCCCTCTCTCTCTCTCTCTCTCTCTCTCTCGATCGACATAAAAAGAAAATACAGTTGTTTTGTATATATATATATATATATATATATATATATATATATATATATATATATATATATATATATATATATATCGAGATCATAAAAAGAAAATACAGTTGTTTTGGATTATATAGATTACGAAGTTCCAAATTACCATATGCCGGAAAACCCGTATATGGAACTCAGTTGGGAACATTTAGACGATATTATGGAGCAGGTCACAGACATCCCTGTTGAGGATATCTTCACTGTTATGAAGAAGAAAAACAGGGAAGCGTTGAAAGCAGAGTATGAGGTTTGTTGATTTTCATTTGTATTGCACAACATATTCAGCCTGATGATACATAGAAAGTCTTTCAGCCATGGAGACCATTTATTAATTCACTATCTAATGTGTACTTTATCGAGATAAAAAAAAAACGAAAATAGAAGCAGACTGACAGTCATAGGGACTTATTGATTATAAAAAGCTTCTAGAAGAACGTGCAATACAACATTAAATACACACGAACAGAACTTAATAATTTTGCTTTGCATAACACATCCAGAATACAATGTGATAGTTTAAGTTAAATATATTTCATGCCATTTTGTAGAAATTACCTACAGTATTCACTGCGACGTGCCATGTAGGACAAAAGCAGGAAAATCAAATGAAAAATAGATTCGACACTATTTTGCCATGTAAGTGGATCGAGACCATTATTATTTTTTTTTACAAATATTTGCATAGTTTAGTAACGTTTTAGTGATAATAATCGGTAACTGTGGAACAAAATATTAACATTTGCTTAAAACAGCTGCGTTTTGCTCTTATCACCAGAGTATCCCACGGTTTAAAGATCACAGCAAAAAGAAAAGCACCATTAGGGTGAATGTTCACAGTGTCACGAAACGTTACTGAATAGAAATCCTTGGACAATGTAATAGATTATACAAAAAGGTAATTCAGCTAGTGGAAAAGTGAGGAGTGCTTTAGTCACACGTTTGTGGATATATATTTATGGTTAAGTAGCAGTTTGCATCAAGTCTGATATCTTCGTCACTTGAACAACATGTTGGATAATTCTGTGGGTACCTCCACCTATATGTGGAACATTGCAACACCAGTTTATAGTAGTTTCACCTTGTTTTCTTATGACAATAGATGACCACTCCCGGGTCCCGTTGACTCCACTACCGGGTGACCCCCATTCCGATTACATCAACGCAAATTATATAGATGTAAGTAACCTTATTGACTTTGGTGTCAATTATTCATTTTTCGTTTTGTTTCGTTTATAATTGTATGTAATGTTTAGAAGAAGGAACTTGTTTTGTTATGTAAAAAGGTTAATGAGAAAACAAACAACTAAATTTGTTACTTGAAACACTACGATATATGCATGTACAATGTGATAATGTCTAAATGTCCTTCACTTTTTATCTCATTTTTATTGAAGGGCTATGGGCAGACTGGAGCATTCATTGCCTGTCAAGGTTATTATGATTTTATTTTGCTAATATTTATGTATTATTTTATTAGTTCTGAATTCACATATTCATGTTTTCATACAATACTGCAACTTGTGTTTTTATAAATTCACTTTTAATTATATATTGATGGTACGTCGATCAACAATTATCCTACACAACATTTTTATTGAAACTTATTCAGGTCCAAAACCAAACACTGTGAAGGATTTTTGGCGAATGGTTTGGCAAGAAGATTCCCCTGTGATTGTCATGTTGACGAACTTGACAGAGGATGCTAAGGTGTTTGATCAATTCATCTGTTTAGATAGTATACTAGTATGTTTCCATGTTTGAAAATTATATTATATTATATTATATTATATTATATTATATTATTTCTGTGTTCTAGACAAAGTGCGCTAAATACTGGCCTGACGAAGGCAGCAAACGATTTGGTTTAATAGTCGTGACTTTAAAGAAAGAAGAAACTCACACTGATTTTACTGTGCGAACGCTGCATATGTCGGTGTTACATGTAGGTAATCAAGTTTGGGAAATGAAGGTTATAGTTTTGATAAATTGAATCGGTTTTCCCCTCCGCTTAACATATTAAGCTGGGATGATGTATGAAAAAAGGATTAAAAGATGTGTATAGAATGATAGAATACGAAAGATGTGTTATCTTTCTTCTAACGCACGTTGAATAGAAGATAGAAAAATGGCAAATCATTTTGTTACTTAGTAGTATAATGTTATGTGATGTATTGAATCCTTCTCAGTATAATGCAATGATTAAATATTTATAATATTTTTCAAGTCCAATTCTTCCACGAAGACAGTGAAGCAATTCCATTTCACGGGCTGGCCTGACCACGGTGTTCCCGTAGATTTCTCAGCTTTGGTGCAGTTCCGAGACAAGTTCAAATGGTATCAGAAAAAGGTGGAATGTCAAGGTCCCATCATTGTTCACAGCAGGTTTGTATATCAATGCAGACAAAGTTTCTACAATTTACCTGTACATTTGTGTGATGCATTTGCCTAGATGGCTTCTGGTACACGTGAAATTCAAACAGCGTCAACTGGTCAGTTCTTAATTATAGTCATTTCGTCAACCTATTTTTGAATAGATTATAGACATAAATATTAAATTTGAATACCGTGATAATTTGGCTTACTATTTTTGAATTGAATACCGTGGTAAATACACATGAAACTTTCTGCTTTAAAAAAGTAGCCCAATTACACTATAATTTATTTACTGAAGTTATATATATATCTCCAATAGTGCTGGTGTCGGCAGGACTGGGACTTTCATCGCTCTGGACTACCTGTTAGACCAAGCCGAGGCTGAAGGGAAGATCAACATATTCAATCTTGTACAGCTGATGAGACGTTCACGTTCGATGATGATACAAACAGAGGTCAGTGGTACACGTGTTATACAAAATGGTCTAGTAGGACAAACGTGTATGGAAAGTAGTTGATTTATCATTAGTAAATAGTTTATGACTGTTTGGTACAAGTAATTATTCGTCAGTTATTTAAACATAATGTTGTATATTTTCAATGCAGGAGCAATACTACTTCATTCACGACGCCATGTTGGAGGAACTGTACTGCGGGAACACGACAGTCCCGGTGCAAAGATTGCAGCCTTATTTTCATAGGCTGAAACAGGTGGACATAAAATCTGGTCTATCAAAGTTAGAGAGAGAGTTTGCAGTGAGTGTATTTCAATCAAAAATATGTATTTATTGAATATATTATAAGAAATTAATTGTTGAATACATTAAAACTGTATCATAAAATGAATGTTTGATCTAAAAAGCATTACAGGTGGGAACTAAACTACCAAAAATTTTCCGTTTAAAGATGTAGTTGAGCTGGTACAAACGTGTATCTAAGCCCAAATTTATTATCTTATACAATTTATGAAACTGCTGTATTCTGGATAGGTGAACACATTATTTGTTTTTTTATTGCAGCGTTTTAGTCCTATTGTGTGTTTTACTCTATGCGAGCTTTTTATTGGTTCTTAGGTTCTTCAACAACTGTGTGTTGGATCTGCTAACGTCGGAAAATCACAGGCTTCAGCCAACGTAAACAAAAAACGTGTCAGGAACATTTCACCTGGAAACGGATGGAGACCGGCAAATGGCAGTACTGACTACATCAACGCTGTCTTCCTTGATGTAAGACCGATTACGTTATTGACGAATATCAAGTATTTTAGATTTGAATTTTAGATGGAAGAGAACTCAATCAAACCTTTTAATTAGATAAAGTAAGGTAGAATCAGTGAACACGGTAAATTATAATTGTTAGCATGCCTTTTACGTAATATTATTGTAGTTGTAAAGTTAGTGTATGTCTGCAATTGTTCAACGTTCTCTTATTCGCTTCTCAGGGCTACCGCCGTGCTGATGCCTACATCGTGGCCCAGACGCCTTTACCTGATACTGTGGTGGACTTCTGGAGAATGATCTATGATCATAATTCTGCTACAATAGTCATGATGAATGAAGCAGCCGAAATAGAAAAGGTGCGTGTATGCCTTGTAGATTTCTATTATAAGAAGACATATTGGTGAAATTTTGTAACAATATACGTTTTTAGATTTATATTAATGAAAATAGTAATATTTCGTGTTTTTGCATTTAACTACCTCTCAAAACTGTTTAATGCAGATGCAATGTTGAATACTGTATGTTCCAACATTTATGATTTCATAGTTCACTAATTTTCACATATTAGTTTGGATCAATATCTATAACGTCTCAGATGTGTTTTCTCCAGTAATATATATCTTTATAGGAAACTCCATTGTACGTGCCTAAATCTGGTTCTACGACCTATGGACCTTTCACAGTGGAAGTGATATCATCGCACGATGCAGTGGATTCTTTTGCTATCAAGGAATTAACACTGAAAAATAGAAACCGGGTATTTAGTTTATCAATAGTCAGTCACAGCTCATGTACAATCCATTTGGACAACATAAGAAATAAGATGTTTGTGTTCACAATTTAAAGGTTCGGTGTCACCTGTTACTAGTAGTTTTAACCCCAAGTAACGACGTCTTTCGGGTATGTCCAACCACTGATTGGTGGAAATAATTCTGTTTGTGTTTGAGAGAGAGAGAGAGAGAGAGAGAGAGAGAGCAATTTCATTCTTTATTTTTATAATTACAGACTAAAGAGCAACCTCGCAAGATACGCCAGTTCCAGCTCCAAGGGTGGAACACATCTGAACCGACGCCGTCCTCAACAGAAGCGCTCCTAGAGCTATTAGATGAAGTACAACACTGGCAACAACAGAGTGGGAACACAGCCATTACTGTGCACTGCATGTAAGGCATATTTTACTTTTTCAACATGTGCTTGCTTACATACACACACTGGACAAAAGAAGTGTCACCCCCTAACTCAGAGTAATGAAAGTAGGCAGATCTTAGGTACTTATAATGCCTGGTCTACTTATAATGTGACTAATGAGTATAAAACCGCTATACCATGGAATTTTATTGTTGGTCTTGTACATGTACAACAAATGTTATTCCTGTCTTCCTCCAGTATGGCAAGATACAGGTAATTATCTAACGGTTATAGGTGCAAGTTGTTAACCTGAAGAGGTGGAATATAAGCAATGTCAGAATATCGATACAATTGAATTGTTCAGTCAGAACCGTGCAGAGGGTCTGGTCTCGGTATAGAAACACTGGATCAAGAGACAAATTGCCTCTGATGGGTCGTCCAAGAAAAAATACTGGCCGTGAAGACCGACGACTGATTTTTATGTCCAGGTTGTCAAAGTTCGACACTGCTCGTCAGTTGACAACACAGTGGAACAATTTCACACATAAGAATGTGTCTGTGAAAATTGCTAGGCGTCGGTTACATGCTCAGAGAGTGTACAGCAGGGTAGCAAGACTGAAACCTCTTATATCGTTACAAAACAGGCAACGTAGAGTAAACTAGGGTCAACAGGATCTGGAACTGGACAGTTCATGACAATTGGTCCTATATATTTTTTCTGATGAGTGTCGCTTTGGTCTGACCTCTGATGACAGACGGGTACTATGCTGGCAAACTGCTGGTAAAGCATTTGAACCACATGCACTGAATTTTCGAACCCGGAGCAGCATATTCATCATGGTGTGGGGCTGCATCAGCATCCATGGCTTGGGCGAATTGATAGTGGTTAATGGAAACCTGAATCACTAGAAATATATCGATGTTTTGGAGTCAGGCTTGCTACCATCTATTACTAACATGTTTGGTGAAAGGAATTATCCATCTGTTCACCAGGATGACAATGCTCCTTGTCACAGGCCCAGAGCAGTTGATGATTGGTTTGACCAACAGGACATTCGCAGGGTGATGTGGCCTGTCCAGAGTTCGGATACAAACATAAAAGAAAATGTGTGGAATGATATGTCAAAACTTTTTACAAATGCCCGTCTAACCAGCAGAGAAACTCGGTTATATTCAGTGTTTCATGCTTAGGCCAGCATAAGCCCTGCACGCATCAGACAATTAAATGAATCCTTGCTTCGTAGACTGGCACCTATTATTAGGTCACGTGGCTATGCCACTAAGTACTAATTTTGGACTTAAAACTACATATTTTGGTAGAATGTTTATTTTGTTCTCATTTTGTGATTTTTTTGTGAAATTTGATGTAAATAAAATGATACCAGGAGCATATCATTCCACAGTCATTTATCTCCCCCATAGTATTGGCTCAGTAGGGGTGACACTTCTTTTGTCCAGTGTGTGTACATGAAAGCTCTAATTTCGCTGTATCAGGAAGTTATATATATATATATATATATATATATATATATATATATATATACTTTATTTTCATTATACATTTTAACGATACTGATAGAGTTTGTATTGTGGTGCACACGGATTATAGTATGCATCAAAATATGGTCAGTTAAACTATTATTTAATTCTTCTTTAACACCATTCTCTTAAAATGGTGTAATTATTTACATTTCTGAGTATAAAATCTATTCATAAGTAACACGTAAAATTTACCCTAGGTTCTAGATTCCGGTATTGCCAACTCGATCTTGATTTCATATATAACCCATATCAGCAATACTAGTAAAAGCGACTCCATCACAAGGTATATTTAACAAGCTAGCTTTTACGTTGCTCTGACACTCAGGGTAGTAAAATTAAGAATGTAAACGTTTTTAATCTATAACAGAGTGATAATGGCTATTTCAGGAACGGGGCCCATCAAAGCGGCGTTTTCTGTGCCCTGGCCAGAATATTAGAGAAGATGAAAGTGGAACAACAGGTGGACGTGTTTCACACTGTGAAAGCCGTGCGAATCAACAGACCACAGTTCGTAGACAGTTTGGTTAGTGGTTGGCTTTACTTTACCATAAAATCCATCTTTATACAAAATGTAGTATATCATCCGCTAATGGTATTTTTACAGGTATGTTATGTTGTAGAGAATGGATGAACTGTGCATGGGGAAGTACGTTTTGCTGTGTGGAATCATTCACCGTAAATGTTAATCACCAATTTATTCTTTCCAGGAACAGTACAGGTTCTGTTATGCTGCAGTTGAAGAGTACGCATGGAGATTTGACACATATAGACCAGCACTTCGGTGAAAAGGCGTGCATTTTTAACCTACACACATGAAATTTGGCGCAGTTTCGGATTAAGGAATTCTTAGAAAATTAGGATATATAGTGATGTATAGTGATATATAGTGAAAATTCCAATATATTCGCCAAGTCCAAGATGCGCGCCACGAAAACAATTATCATTGCAAAATGGATGAAATATGTATTAAAATAATCTTGAAAGTTGTTTGGTATTAATTATGAACTAGAGGATTGGTTTCAGAGTGTTATGCTTAATAGCCACTAAATGGCTCGAAAACTATTCAAAATAACTAATGCTGTAATATATAATATGTATTTTTATCTTCTCTTCAGCACTCCTCGCATTAAATGTTCGAGAAGTTATATCAAGTAGTATACTACCAATTTCTAATGTTTTATTACAAGCAAAGGTAATATGACCTAGTAATGTATAGATTGTGTTTAAACGTCATTAGGGAGTGTATTCGTTATAGTAGATAAATACTCAAAGTAGAATTTAGGGAGTGCAAAAATAATCCTCATTTCAGTAGCAAAAGTTTAAAGTTGGGATATACTCGCATGTCGTGAGATGTGGTTGATATAATAGACAAAGGTAACTGCATATAATAGACATCAGGTGTACCATATATATTAAATGTTAATAAATGATGTTGTACGTTTGTTAGCCATTTTTTTGAAGTGTCAAGAATGAATGAAATCATAGACCGCACTCGTATTAATATTATAGCGTTTAATCAGTCGCTGGACAAAGCAACACGACAAGCAGCATATAGAAATAGATATTTAATACTATATCAAATAAAATATAGGCTTTTCGATTTGCTTTTCGGTTTAATTCCGAGCGTCTTAAGAGAGACTTTGACAAGAAACTGAGGGGTTTAAGAACCAGCAATTTGTGAACTTATTTAAAATACAAATACAGTTCCATTCTCAACTTACCAAACAGACAGACAGACAGGTACAGCCTCACGAAATGGTCTTCTCTCTTGAAGAATATATTTTTATATCTCACCTGTATTACAGAACCATAAGCTTATGTCATATTTAAAAAAATTAAGCTCTTCATTGTCTGTCAATGGTGTCTCTTTGGTCTCAATTAGATAGAAAAATGAATGGTGGTGAGAGGACGTTTTAATAAAAATGAGGGTAGGGCCTACATTGTGATAGTAGAGATACATGTACCCGGTTGTAATGTAGAGAAAGAATGTGTTAGCACAATGAGGGTTTCGTCTAACGTAACAAACACAATGCTTGGGGTGCTCAGATATTAGCGTTACCTAAGTCATTTTATATATGCAATTTTAAACATTTAATATTATTCAATGATTTACGTTATGCATTCTCTCGATCCACCAGTAAAGTACATTCACACTGACGTTAAGAGAGGTGACCAGAGAAAGGGGAAATCAGTTATACTTAATCGATTCATATGGACTAAAATGGAACGTTATATGTTTTGCCCAATTATTCATTATACAGCAGAAAAGCATAAGCAAGGGTCCAATACAGAAGCTAAGAAAATACAAATATTCATGTAAGAGAAATTTCGAAAAGTTGTTCATGATCAGATCAAGCACCGCGACTTGTTACCTGTCTCGTTGATAGGGAACGTGTATAATAAAAGTCTCGATCATGTCCACTTACTGATTGGCAAAGGATGTCAAGGAGATAAAATGCAGGAATTAATTTCTTTATCCGAGTGACAAAGATAATTATATGTATTCAGTTAAAGATTACCAGCGCATGATAAATCCCATGACTTGATGATTACAATTTGGTACTGGGATAACGATGGCTAAAGCTTTTATTGAACACAATAAGAACAATATACAGGGGTATTAGTATTCAGGCAATTTATTCTTTTTAACTTAATAATTCGTGTTACATAACATCGATATTAAAACACGCATATCGTCACATGAAAACTTCTTTATTTGCATTATTTGTGACGTTAAATTGTCAGAGATTATTTACCAGTTATTTACATGTAAATAATTAATATGTACGTACTGTTATGCAGATGGTGACGCTATTGTCAGTAACTGGTGCTAAAAGTTGCGCTATCAAATTTATCGATTTTGTAGTGTTTACACTTTCAAGATAAGAGCTACCTCGACCGAAACCTTAATCTTGGCGTACCTTATCGCATTCTTTAATTGCTCGTTGTGAACACAGGACGTGTTTTACAGGACGTCGTAGACGCTGAACGATGCAATACTTCCTGATTATATGGATCCTCATTTTCTTAGGTAAATGAGTTTTATTTTATTAAGTGAACGGTTTCATTTAATCAACTAAACACGTTCCTTTTGATAACTTACGTAGCGTCTTCTTTTGTTTAATTTTTCAACACACTTATTCTGTTGCTAGTTATCTTGGGTTGGTGAAAGTCTGTAAGGCTAACCGTAGCTGTCATAAATCATGCGGATTTGATGGGACTAGGACCTCGAAAGATGGAGTAACTTAAATAGTCTTTTTGCTAATTAATATATGTAGAACTTGATTTCTTAGCCCCATTTACTTGTGATTCGACCAGTCAACTAGGAGTGGTTTGAGTATTTTAAGTAAAGGATAAACCAATTTAATCCAAACCTTTCGCCAAATTTAATCTAATCATTCACCCCCTGACGAACCTTGTCACTCGTCGATTGGCTATCTTGACACAGTTTTGAGTTTAAAAAATTGAGTTTAAGTGAGTTTAGAAACTTACTTAATGACTTTTCAATTTTCCCAATTTGTTACACAGTTATAGCGAGTGTCAGGAAAGAAAGATCAAAGGTTGGTTGGTTAGTCGTAGAAAAATACAGTTAGCCCAAGGAGAATTAGTCACTAGTAATTGTGCATATTTAAAGTCAGAAACTGAAACGTGTTGCGAATTCAAAAGAAAATTTTTGACTGAGGGATAATAATAATAATAATAATAATAATCAGAATCACCGATGACTGAGTTACGAAACGCGTTTAACATTACTTCAGGGTGGGAAGGGAAGCCAAAAGAAATGACCTACACACACTGGACAAAAGAAGTGTCACCCCCTAACTCAGAGTAATAAAAGTAGGCAGATCTTGGGTAATTATAATGCCTGGTCTACTTATAATGTGACTAATGAGTATAAAACCGCTGTACCATGGGATTGTATTGTTGGTCTTGTAAATGTACAGCAAATTTTATTCCTGTCTTCCTCCAATATGGCAAGATACAGGCAATTATCTAACGGTTATAGGTGCAAGTTATTAACCTGAAGAGGCGGAATATAAGCAATGTCAGTATATCGATACAATTGAATTGTTTAGTCAGAACCGTGCAGAGGGTCTGGTCTCGGTATAGAAACACTGGATCAAGAGACAAATTGCCTCTGATGGGTCGTCCAAGAAAAACTACTGGCCGT